ATTATATAATATATTCAAAAAATAGTTATTAAAGAAGAAATTTCAATTGATTTGTGGATACAATAGATCATCCATAGAATTATAATATATTCAATCATTGTGATCAAATGATAAAATATAATTAATTAATTAATTATTTTTTTAATTCTAAAAATAAAAAAATAAAAAAAATAATTATTAAATAAGAAATTTCAATTGGTTTGTGGATATGATAGATCATCCATCGAATTATAATATATTCAATTTTTGTGATCAAGTGATAAAATATAATTGATTATTATTTATTTTTAATTCTAAAAATATAAAAAAATACTAAAGAAGAAATTTCAATTGCTCTATGGATATGATTGATAAATCCATAGATCTAAAACATATTTAGTCTTTATAGGCAGAGAAAAATTACATTTTCAAAATTTTTTATTAATTTATATTAACCCAAATATCTTCATGAAATTTCCATCAATTTATTAATAACACAAAAAAAATTATGATTTTGAATGTAAGAAATGTAGATCAACATAAATTTAAACATTCAAGAAAAAAGAAATCACAAGATATTATAGAAAATTCAAAATACTTACCTATCTTTGCCATATTTTTTCAAAATTTGAAAAATTTTCAAAAAAATTAACGATTCACACTTGTTTCATGCAAATTTTGCAAATCTAGCACTCTAGGAATGGGGTTTGGAGTTTTAGTCATTTGGGGGTGAAATGAGGCTTATTTCAAAGAAAAGAAGCTTGGTTTTCCTCTTTATTTTTTTTTTTAGTTTTTGGTCGTATCTTTTTCGTCGACACACTACCAATACGCCCCCGATTTGCCCCAATACAGTCTGATACATGTCTAATATGCATTAAAAAAATATGAGACGTCCAATTTTCATGTGTATCTTGTATTAGTTTTTCAAAGATACAATATGATACGCCCCATATCGGGCGTATCATATCAAAATTTTAAATTTGCTCCTTCCAAACTCAGCCTAGTTTCTTTTGCAATTTCTCCCCTTTCTACAACTTCGTGTTTGTGTATACTATGATGACTTATTTCTTCCCATAGAATCTCAAGTCAGTACTAAAATAACTTAAGATTTTCTAATATTTAACTTTATGGTTTATTAGTAATATTAGATTGCATTTTGCAAAAGTTGTAACCTTCATAACGATGAGGTGAATGTAGGAACAAATCCCTGTTACACAACTTGTTAGGGAAACAACGGTTGTTATGCAGGAGTTCACTCAATCTGGTCCTCTATTACTACATAGTTTCCATTTGTTGCAAGCTTCTACTGAAAAGATTTGTACTCCATTTGTGGAAAGTAAGCTACATAATTTAGTTTTACTCTTTTTGTGATCAATATGTATCAGCCTTAGCTTAGTTTTAAGAAAGTTTCCTTAACCATGTAGAAGTAAATTGGAAACCAATATTTGCTCTTTTACTTCATGATCAAAGTTTTTAGAAATACCGATTTGCTGAATAGCCATCAACCCCTTCACTTATTCTTTGCATTATTATTATTATTATTATTATCTTTTTTCTTAGTTTGAAGCACATAAACATTGCAATGGCCACAATCCTGAAGAATGTGTCAAATATTTTAGTGGCAATTGGAGAATTATATATATATTTAGGAAGCGTTAGAATCAATAAGTGTGGATGGCCATGTCCTTAATGGTACATCATGCCTTTTTCCATTTGCATGAACTGAATCACTTATTATTTTGTATCTCTTAATTGGGATATTTATTTGCTTATAGATGAAAGGATTAAAAAAACGTATGGCTAATCTTGTAGCTCTATGCACTAAATCTTGCAGCTCATGGGTATGTTGGTGCTGATCTTGCAACTCTATGCATTGAATTTGCAGTTTGCTCTTCACTGAATTTGCTATAGAGAAAGATGTGATCGACTTGGAAGATGAAACAATAGATGCTGAGATACTCATCTTCATGGCTGAAACAGTAGATGCTGTGGTCGCCAAGTGGTTTGCATTGGAGGATGTGATACATTATTCGAGATATTTATTTTGTTTTTAAGTCCTTGTAATTTTTATATATCAATTGGATAATGTATTTGAATAATTTGTTTTGGATAGTGTATTTGAACATTTTATTTTGGATATTATAATAATTAGTGTTTAAATTAATAGATTTAAGTAGTTTTAAGTTTTCATGTATCAATTTTCAAGAGTGTATTAAGCATGTATTAAAGTGATGGATAATAAAGTGCATGTGTAAAAAAAGTACTGAAATTAACCTACCATATAAAAAAAACACAGCTCTGAGCCGGTGGTCAACTAATTGCTGGCTTAGCCATAAATAAGGCTATGTGTGGCAATCGGATATGATATAAGCCAGTGGTTTAAACCGTCGCTCGAAAGAGAAGTCATTTTTTGGTAAAACTTTAGCTGACGGTTCAGACTGCCACCTTAAGTAACTAGCATTTTTTGGCAAAATATAAGCCGATGTTCTGAAACGCCGGCACAAATGTCAATTTCAAATCTAGCTGGCGATCTACTTTTATTTGTACCAGCGATTTCCAATGCCAGTTTTTAAAAATATTTATTTATTTTTTACTTTTTCCCAGTGGTGTATAACTATCGGTATTAGGAAGGATAAGCTAACAATTTTGACAAACCGCCGGCAATGGTTAATTCAATGGCCTAAGTTGGTGCCACCTATGCCGGCGGTTTTATGCGGATATTGCAGCAGTCTTTATTTTTGTTGACAGTGGCTATACCGGAGAAGAAAGACTCTTAAGTCAGTGCTGGCGGTCATGAAATTTGTGTCGACGAATCCAGACCGCCAACTAAAGCCTGTTTTTTTTCTTTAGTGCCAAAACCAAAGGCAAATATTCGCTTTATATATTATAGATTATAGTATAAGATATGATTTATTTTATATTGGGATAAATGATAAACAAAGACGGCGTGCTTAGGGGTAATGACACTTTAGCCCCTTGAACTTTGTTTTGAGACATATTTCCAACTTTCCCCTTGTCATTAGCATTGTATCAATTTAACTTTGTGGAGTGTTCCATTAAACATTTTTAAAACCCCAACTACTTTTATGTCATTTTAAGAGACCATTTTACCCTTTTAACTTTGTGGAGTGTTCTAAGAACTTAACTCGCATGTTTTTTTACAACTTTCTTTCAACAAAGTTCAACTTGAGAACACCTTGAGAATGATCAATACCTTGAGAATAATTTGTGCTATAAAATGGTTAGTTTCATCATTTTGACATTTGTTGCTATGAACCCATAAAATCTCGAATGGGAAATTTATTAATTTTACTTTCACCATCAACCCTATTAACAAGCTATGAGGCAAATTAAGGTGTTGGAGATCAGAAGTTCAGGTGCATAAAAGTGTGCAATATTACTTTATTCAAAGACCAACGAGCAAACAACAATCTATCTCCATCGGTAATAGCAGTAGCAGAGTTCCATTTCCGATCAATGACCACAAACTTAGGCCTGTGGCCCGTGCCAGGGGCACACAGGCCATAAACCCTGAACCCAGCCTGGCCTCGGGGGTTGTGTCGTGCTTGCCTCAACAAACATAACCAAGAGGGTTAATTTGGTTTGATCACTTTGATGAGATGGGGTGGGTCGTAGATAACGGTTGGGAGATGTGGTCAATCAGGATTTGTTCCTTATTGGAACATCTCCATTAATAAAAACACAAAGTATAGGAGATGTCCCTAAGATCCGGTTGGGACGTGTTGTGAGGTTGGTGGTCTGGAGGGAATTGGGATATACTCCTTTGTCTCAGCCTTGTGTGTTTTTATTCATGGGAGATGTTTCCAAATACATGGTGGGGGTGTTCTGCGAGATCGGTGAAAGATGCCTTTATGAGAAGTAAATTCAGAATCGATGGGAGTAGTGCTTTACAAGAAACAGATCCGTCTGAGTCCCAATTACCTGCCAATAAAATAGGTTCCAACGCTTTACCAACAACATCTGACATGGCACATCTCACACATGACGGATCTTGCTTTTATGGTGGGCCCAAGTTTTTTAAGGAAATGTACGGTGTCGGATCAACTTGCGTTGGTTGTTGGAATGAATTCGGCTTCCGTCAAGGCAACGCCCGTTCTAACACCTCTACAGCCTTCTATTGAGAATATCTCCGTGCTTATAAGTTTTTATTTCATGGAGATATTCCCGATAGAAGGTTGCAAGAGATGTTGGGACGGTGTAAACACGGGGCCTGACCGAAGCCGATTTGGAACTTGTTTTGCTTTTGCTAGCAGGTGATCTCTACTTGCGTTATTCAGAATCAGGACTGCGCCCCTCAATGCCCCACAGCACATCGCAATCTTGTATTAGGAACATCTCCCGATGTGAATTCATCATATCCGTATTTGTCATCGAGAGATGTTCCCGCCCTCTAGTGCGGGGCAGATCTGAACTCGTTACCTCAGTGACGTTGTAGATCCGCTTGTTTGGACTGGGCCAATAAGGTAGCGCGGAAGGACATTCGGCATTCGTCCTTTGTTGAAACTTGAAAGAGCGAAGGAGAAAATTTGATAGACATAAACCCAGAGCCTAGAGTAGAATAGTTCACTCTCTCATTTTATTTGATGCCCTGTTGTGTGATGCTGTGTTGCAGACTGGTTAAAAATAGAACAAAATGAGCGGGAGCCTGAGGAGTATGTTGATAGCGGCGGCCATAAATGGGGTGACGGAAGCGAGGGCGAGGATATTCGGGCACGTGCTGAACCCGACGGGGCAGAGGTCTCCACACAAGGTTCTTCGGAAGAAGCTCATTGGCGAGAAGGTGGCTCAGTGGTACCCCTATGATATCAAGAAGGACGACCCCCTCGTCATGGCCCGCCAAGAACAAGAGTCAGTAGTTTATTCCTCTAGTTTTTCTAGTACTTCGTTTCTCTTTATTGATGGGTTTCTAGTGATCTCTCTCCCTTTCGCGCGCACAAACATTCATTTACATTATGTCCACCAACCGTTTGTTTATGTGTCTCTGTTGTCTCCCTTGAAGGTTTTCTTTCTTTCCTTTTTTTAGGGTGTGTGAGTGGTAATGTTAGGCATGGATAACGTTCTGTTCTTATTTTTGTGTTTATTATTTAAGCCCTCCTTGTGGACCTCATAATAGTCTGTTTTGTTCAATTTTTGAAAATTTATACACTAAAATCGTACTCATTCACTATAAAATTGTAGCAAAAGGGTGAATTTCAGATTTTGAAGAGAAAAGATAAGGTTATAAATGATGACCTTAAATGTGCTCTTGCAAAGAGAATGAATAGTTATATTAATAGATAAGCTGGTATTTAATATATTATTTTCCTAAAGGGCAAGGATTATCTATTAGTATCAAGAGCAACTTCTCCTTTGCTAACTGTTACCCTAGTTTATTCATTGTTTCATTTATTTTCAGTCCCATTGACTGTTTATTTATGTCCTTGGTGAAGTTCTTTTTTATGCTCATGTCATATTAGGCATGGATGTTACCTAAAGTCTAAATGTAGTGATATCAAAATAACACCTAACTAGGAGAATATTGGTTGGACAAAATTACAAAGTCATGTTTCCATGGTAACTTAATTTTTGAAGTGGAGGAACCTATATCTAAGATTAGATTAGTGAGGTCAATGTGGAAGGCCCAATTAATGGTGAGGGAATCATTAACAAGGGGGTGGATGCTCAGTTGTTACCTTCATTCTGATGGAGGATGGAGCTTGTACACATGGATATCTTCTCCTACCCCAAACACACACACACACACAAATTAACTATTGTCATGCTAAAGGAGTTCTTAGAAGAAGCTGTTTTATAATTATCAAGTATTGAAGATGAAATCATGGATGTGAAACATAGTCCTGAGGATAATGGTGAGAAAGAAAGAAACCTTGAAGCATCAGATTAGTATGCAAGTCACATATAGAAAAAGGAGTGCATGTGCAGCTAGGTATATTAAGATTTTCTTATCAAATTTCTCAAGTATATTCATCTCAAGAAGGGGTTTTCTCCATACAGTGTTATGCGTGGATAATATCAATTTTAGCATCTTGATTACCCATTTGCAGTTTACAGATGATATCTTGGTTTTTTGTGATGGAGATTGTAGAGATAGGGTGGAAAATCTGAAGTTGGTGGTGAATCTTTTCAAGAGATTGTCCAATTTGAGGATTAACTGGTTTAAGAGTTTAATAGCTGAAATCAACATAGAAGAAGATGACTTGAGGGCTATGGCAGATTGTTTAGGTTGTGAGAGGGGAGAGTGGCCTATAAAATACTTAGGGTTACTCTTAGGTGACAATCCTAGATCTGCTAGTTTTTGGACCCTAGTGGTGGAGAGGGTGGAGAAGAGATTAACTGGGTGGAAGAGGAACTACATTTCGCTGGGGGTGAGGCTAACTCTTCATGTTGGGTATGATCTGGCTTTGGGTCAAAAAGTTAGGTTTTGGGAGGATATATGGATTGTGGATATCCCTCTAGGGGAGAGCTTCCCTTCACTTTTTGCTCTTTCCAGTCTTAAGGGTAAACCTGTGTCTGATTTGTTTGTCCAGCACTCTCTTCCTTCAGGGCTGAACTGGAACTTAGGTTTCACTAGAAAACTCTAGGAATTTGAAATTCCTGGTGTGTCTGAACTATTAGGTTTTCTGAATTTAGTGGTCCTGGGAGAAGATGGCTTGGATTCTAGGGTTTGTGGCCATAATTCTAATGGTTTGTTTTCTTGCAAGTCTTTCTTTAATTCCTTGGTAGCCACCTCCCTTTCTCTTTTCCTGGTCAAGGAAGTTTGGTGTTTTCCTATCTCCCCCAAAAATCAGTGCTTTCTATTGGGAAGTATTTCAATGGCTGTATTAATACCTTTGACTTGCTTCAAAGAAAAAGACCAAATTGTTGTTTGTCCCCTAGTTGGTGCTTCCTTTGTAAGTTAAATGGTGAGACTGTTTTTTTTTTATTGGAAACGGTAACTTCATTAATACAAAATTAAGTACAATAGTCAACCCCTAAAAAGGGTGTTGATCCCCAAGTACTCTCTATTACAAAATTGCCTGGAAAATACTCTCCCTCACATTCCCTTGTTTTGCCAATGTATCAGCTAAACCATTAGCTGATCTCCTTGTCCATTTGAAGCAAGTACCAATCTCCCTTGTTATATTGAGAATTTCCCTTATGGGCTGTCTATAAATCCAGGCTCCAAACTTGCCTGATTGCAGCCAATCGATTAGCAATTTAGAGTCTCCCTCTATCTCAATTTGGTGTAATAACTCCAATTGTTTGGCATATCTTACACCTTGAAGCAAAGCCATCACCTTCGCTCTCAATGAGTCCCCACTCCTATTGGCCCCGAAAACATAGCCACAATTCTGCCATTTCCATCTCTGAATACTCCTCCTATACCTGACAGGCCCGAGTTACCTCTAGAGCTACCATCAAAGTTCAGTTTCATTCTTTGTTGTGTTGGTGGGGACCACAGTTCCTATACAGTAGGTTTTGTGGAAGTTTTAGATGCCACCACTCCCTAATTCCTGTATATGTCCCTGGCTGAGAAACCTTTAAACAGATCCAGTATTTTCAACCATTGAATAGTCATAATGGCTATTCTTTCTATTTCCCCCTTGGTTTTTCCACTCCTTTAAAGATCCTATTGTTTCTTTCTTCCTAGACAGACCATAGGATAGCTGCTTTTGTGGCTCTCGATATTAATCTCCACGCCTCTTCAGTTGCTTGAAAAAGCTTGTGTCAAAAAGGCTTATCACGTCTGGGGGAGGTGTCCACTTGCAAGGTTGCAACTTGCAACCAAAGATAGAAGAGAACCAGGTCCAAATAAAGCACACAAATGGACAAGAAATTAATAGGTGTGTGATCGTCTCACCAGAACTCAAGTAGAGGCTACAAACATGGGGTGACAAGCAAAAATTTGGCCTTTTTCTTTGCAACACATCTAGAGTATTGATTTTTTGGAGAATCACCTTCCAGCAAAAAGTCTGAAACTTCTCTTAGATTGTTTACCTCTTTTTTAGTCTCCTGTCCTTGTGTTAACTTTATTTGGAATTGGTTTTCTTCTCTTTTTGGATGCAGATGGTGCTTTGGATTTTGGGGAGATGTACTAGAACAGTGGTGCTTTGGATAGCTTGGGAGAAAAGGAACTCAAGAATTTTTGAAGATAAAGAAGTAAGGAAGCTTTGGTAGAAGTTATAACTCTAAGAGTGGCCCATTGAGCTAAAAGTCTGAAACTTCTCTTAGATTTTAAAGTTGAGGACTTCTTCAGGTCTTGGGGTGTAATTGTTGCATCATCTTCCAGAACACAGAAAATAGTTGAGGAGTGGTCACCCCTAAATTGTGGCTGGAAGAAACTGAATTTTGATGGAAGTTGTGTGGGCAATCCGGGCTCCTTAGGAATAGGAGGGGTCATTAAGGATGAAAAAGGAAATATCGTAGCCTTATACTTGGGACCAGCTGAACACGGTGATGTGGTTAGATCAGAGCTATTGGCTGCAGTATATAGGGTTGAGAAGGCCAAACATTTGGGTATTGATAGAGTGATCATTAAAGGTGATTCAAGAGCTATTGTGAAATGGATGGAGAAGGGGGAAGGGGTGTCATGACATGTAAGAAATGAACTCAGGTGATTTAAATGGCTGTCAAAAGGCATGACAATCTAAGTTAAATGGGTTAGGAGAACTGCCAACAGGTTGGCAGATGGTTTAGCTGAGCAAGGGGTACAAAGAACTTCCTTGTTTTGGGCTCAATTGTAATTCTTGGGTTGGGTCAGATTTTCTGAAGCTGTTTTTTCTCCTTTTTCCACAACCTCTTGTTGTAATTATTTTCTCTATTTTTAATGAAATCATTTATGTCTTGCTGATAAAAAAAGAAAGAGGTGACCAATCATGTGGTATTCATCACAGTTTACAGGGTGCTTTGATTTGTCAAATTTCTTTCGGTACCATGTCTTTCCAGTATCATAAATTTTCTCTATATAAAATATATTCAAAGTGAAAATATGGAAGTGAAAGCAAGAATATGTGAATTGTACCAAAGTGCTTCAAGCACTCAACAACTTGAGCATGTGAAACTTTCAATTCATTTATTCATCTCCTAGTTGCAGTTCTTCATGTGGCTAGTATGATGTCAAACATCTTGCATTCTGTATCGTTTGGAGATCAGCCCTTTGCCTCTGTAAAGGCCCCTTAAGGCAAGCCCAAACAAGTCATTGCAGGGGTTTGGGTAGTGCCACTGACAAATTTTTGTCTATATATATAAAGAGATTGGTTTTGTGATTTTAGTTGCAGTCCATTCTGTTTCTACGATTAGGAATCAGATATTAGTTATATTGTTGTTGTTTCTTAGTAGAAAATTTTCTATTTGAGATCCTATTTGCGAGGCTTCAAGTTTTTGAAAAGTTTTTGCTTTTATTTATTTTAAAAGTAAATAGACCATTAAAATAGTGTACAAACAACAACAAAAGGTTATTAAGAAGTTGATAAATGATTAGAAAAGTGTGAATCCACAGAAACACTGTACTATGTGACTATGTTTTTTTTTGATCAATAACAGAATGCTTTATTAGATTATAAAAATTGTGAAACTTTAAGTACAAGAAAGGGGAGATAAAATATCTTAACTCCCCCACAACAGAGAACAAGAAAGAAAGCTAAAAAATGGCCCAAAACATAGAATCCTTAAGCACCCCTTGCTTGGCTAACCCATCAGCCATGGAATTAGCACTTCTCTTCACCCAGCTGTACTTCACCTCAATATCCCTGCTCAACCATTTAAATTTTTTCTTTTCATTTCTGTAGCTCTACAAACCATTGATGTCTTCCTTCAACCACCTAATTACCTCCTCTGAGTCCCCTTCAATGACCAAGCACCGAATATTT